GGGATGGGATGTACCAGTTGGCTTCGTGAGACAAACTCATTTCAAGAGCTTCAATAATAGGGGAGTGACTGTCAATGGAAGAGGGAACAGCTTTTTTGTTTGTTGTTTTTTGAAACAAAACCATAAACCAAACCACACAATTTGCAATACTTGAACATTCCCAATGCCAGGGATGGGATTATATTTGAAAGGTTATCTCACAGAATAAAGTATTAGGAGAGTTTTTATTTTGATTAGCACCTAGATTAGGTTCAGCAAGTTTTGCAATATTTACCATTCTTTTTTGGGAAATACTGATTAAGCCTGGTTTTCTACTAAGAAAGACTGATTCAACTAAATGGGAAGGATTCATGAAAGTGTAGTGATTTTGTAGGTATTTGTAATAAATAATGTCAACATACTGCAATGTAATCAAACTGTTGCATTAAATCATGTTTTTTTGTCCCAATATACTTCAGCTCAATCACTTCTGAGGGCTGTCTTGATGTGTCTTAGGTAGAAGAATCTTTCTACAGATGTCTAAAGCAAACCTTTTAGGGGATGTGTTAACTACCTCATTTCCAGGTACCCATTAGCATCATCTAAGCAAGACCAGTATACAGAGAAGGACTACAGAGAGACAAAATTATTCTAAGGTGTCTGGAAAAAAAAAAAGTGGACTTCTCATTGTGGTTTGTGGAAATAAGATGATGTGAGTTTTCTTTGGGCTGAAATTAATTATTTTAGGCAGCATTAAATACATTCCCTGCCACAGATTACTTTTAATGGTAAAATATATGCTCTCTAGCTCAGATAAAATAATTCTCTGAACTAATATTGGCTTAGGGTTAGAGTGAAAAATAGATTTCACTTTCTCATGTTAAACTAATTCCAAATTAAGATTTAAATTAAAAGGTTAGAAAGAGGTCTCAAATACATCACTTTGGAAGCCTCACAACTTCATTATTGTTTGTCTAATAAATGTCAAGCTTTAAAAATTATACTCTGAAAAGAAACTAAATAAAAAGTATTATTTAGAAAGGAGCTTTGCTAAAGATGTTTTAATGAGTAACTTCGATGAGTAACTTTGATTCCACAGTCACTTAGTGAGGTTAATAAGGTACAAAAGGCAATATAAAATCATTGTAAATAATGTAAATGCAACTGATGTGACAGAAGTGACAGAACTGAGTCTGCTAGACCAGAAGGCGTTTCTGAGGCTACCGTTGAAAGATACGCTTACTGAAATGAAAGGGGAAAAGGATAAATGACCAGATTGCTGCAATCAAGATATTCCCATCACTGATCAGAAATACAGCTAGGAGCTGATTTTTTTTCTTAGGTATATAAAACAAATCAGTTAAGGGACATGAGTTAACCAGCTGATTTTTAAGTGCCACTTAGTGCAAAGGCTACAGACAGTGATTAAATTAGTTTTAAGTGCCTTATACTAAGAAGTACACTGTTAAAGAACTAGATAACTAAGCAATTTCCTATTGTAGTTTTAATTAAAGATAATATTTTGAGCATGGAATTGAAACATGAGAAAGTTAAAGAAGTAATTATTGAATTAAACTAGTGCTTTTCAGTATCATCTTCTGAGTGGTATGCTATTCTGGCTTAAAAGCCTTATATAAGCAGCTAAAGCAATCTTTCACACATGTAACAGATACAACTATTTAATAAAAAATGAAGAGCTACTCATACCCTGCTGTGAAATAGTTATTAGTTTCTAGTATAATACATGAATTTGCATCTGCTAAAGAAGTGCATTTAAATGGTAAAGAATGTTTGATGACTGATAGTTACATTTCATGTGTTAAAACAAAAATATTTATACTGCTTTTAAATTCACAAGTAAATAGCTGTCATCATGCCAGACTATAAAAAGCTGATTTCCATATTTATATGGCATGTAATTATGAATGGAACCACACTAACAATCCAGTTTGGGGTTTTGTGATTGGTGGTTTTGGTTGGGTTTTTTGGGGGGTTTTCCTGTTTGTTTTGGGTTTTTTTACTCTTCTCGGTAATTTTGATCTCCAAGTACTGGCTTTTGAGGGTACGTTGATACGCGTGTAATTAGCACTTGAAGAAATGGGAAAATATCAGAGTAAAATCTTGATCCCACCCATGTCAGTGATGTACTTCTTGAAGATTTCAGTGAGACTGGTGGTTATATTTCTTGGGCTTTACATGGTATATGCATTTTTGTCTTTCAGGAGAGGGAAAATGTTAGCGGCCCTACAATAATCAGTAACACTGGCAAAATTTCTTCCTTCAGGAAATAAGGACTCCTGAGGCAGGCGGGCAGCTGGTGCACTGATATGGCTCTGCCTATAGTGCTGGCCAACGTTGTCTCCTTTTTCCTTGTAGACCCCCTTTTTCTATCTGAATCCATCTGTTGTCCTTTGTCTGATACTTAAATAGCAAGATCTGTAAGATTTAATTCAGAAGCGATCATTTTGTTTCGTATTTTACGTGACTCCTGACCATGAAATTCTGGTCCATAATTTGGGCTACTCTGCTAATATTACTGTCTCGATGTCTCTTAAAATTAATACTAATATTCTGTGTATTTCCACTAACTCCTGTTAGTTAGTAATTTAATTTAAGCATTATGTGATTTTGATTGAGTTTTATGTAGTAGTTATAACACACAAAGCACCAGAAAATATTTGAATGAAAATGGAACTTTTACTGTTATTCCAGCATTGATGTTAATAGCTGTATACGTAAAAAACTTGATAAATAAATATTCAGTGTGCAAATCTGCTTCAGTAATCAATAAGCATCCAGAGCCATACTCATCCTAGAAATAATTTTACTGACCATAATGCATTTGCACCAGGAATTCATTTAGCCAGCATTGCTTGTCTTGTGCATAACTGACCCTTAGCTTTCTTTCTACAATCAGATGTTAGAAAGTTTATGCCCAGCCCTGATGCTGCTGATCCCCCTGGCCTGTTCCTGAATATATTATGATTAATGGCTAACAGTGCTGGTGGTGATAATAATCATATTGTGTGATTAACAACTACAAAGAGGAAAACCAGGTATGAAAGGAAGCTCTACGAGGTGTAGGGAGGAGAGCAAAACTAACAACAGGGCTGCTTTTTTGCATGTTGACTGTAGTGAAGGATGTGGTACCCTGTGTGCAATGCCCACCACTGTTGCCGTGGAGACTGTGCTGAACACAGACCTTCCCTCTGCCTGGGACCTCTGTCATGTGGGGAAACCTGCAGGATTTCACTCCAAGTAATGACTCCACTTCCACAGTCTGGGACGCCACTTCCCAAGACCTGTGCATGTCCTTTCCCTGTTTTGTAATCTCTGCTTAAGAATAATGAACAAGTGAATAAAAACAGATCTAAAACTGGCTATACACGTGTACACTAACTACTTACAGCTCAAAAATAAATACCTTAAAACACGTTCAATGAATTAAATGGCATTGCTTTTGCTATATAGACAGGTTGGTTGAAAAGTCCATACCTGTTGATTAAGTAGTGCTCTTTTCTGCTCTTTTTCATGTGTTAATTTTGGGGTATTTCAGTCTGTGCCCTAACACTTGCTCTTTTAGCTATGACCTTAAGCTGCTTGTAGGTATTTTTGTGAAACGTGAGTGATAGGTGATAAATTTCCTCACAGGATGCACTCTTAACACATTTTGAGGTATTATTCTGAATAAGAACTACAGATTACAATGTTTAACATTTATGAAATTGAATAATAAATTCAATTGAGTAGCACATTTTTAATAAGATCTGGCTACTCTGATTTGTATTTTTTATTTTTGAATTATTTTATAAAATGCATATAGAAAAATAATTAAGTCTACAAAGGTGCTTTTTGTCATTGAAGTAGGAAAAGGATAAATTAATTTACACTTATTAAATTGTATTTGTCTAGAATAGCTGTACACCTTTTCCTTTTTAAAACATGGCGTAAGATGTATGAATGGAAGTACTTTAATCCCTGGCAGATGTACTATTTATATAACACCTGCCAGTTCATTATCTTATTCTAAGAGAGATGCAGTTTGTATTTAAAAAAAAAAACAAAAACAAAAACAAACAAACTGAAAATGGTCTTGAGGTTCAGTGCACATACTAGAACGGTAGAAATTGTGTTTTCTAAGTCATAAGTACAGTGTTGACAAAAATAACATATTTGTAAAAGGCTCTCCAATTTTCTGTTTTCTTGAGACCTTCAGTCTGTTTTAAATAGCATCCGAGACTGATGCTGTGGGCCTTTTCTTGTGCCTCTCTGTCCTGATGGCAATTCTTCCATTACTTGTGATCCCCTCCAAGAGAAGCTACGGCAAGATCATTTCATTGTTGTTGCAAAACTCTGAAGATGTTAAAACTTTTGCATGTACACATTCAGTAAAATCTCATTGTGATCTAGCAAGGCTCAGTCTTTTTGGTGTAGCAATAATGTTTGATGCTTCGCAGTCGTCTCTGTCCCTTCATTTTCTCACCTGTTGTATCTCATCGCCGTTCATTTTAGTGTTGAGCGTGACATGATGTCTATGACCATGTTTTTATTTATAGATACAGATTTGCCATTTTGCTTTCCACTTCTGCTCTGCCACCTTCTTTTAAACATCAGATCATATATGTGTAGGGTGGTACTCTCTGTTCCAATAACAGAGAGTGGTAATTCTATCAAAAGATAAAGCCAGAAAACCAAACTGATTTCCTGTCTGCCTTCACCCCAAATCTAATTAAAATGTTACACGGGTAGACATGTCATCTTCAAAAACTGATGCTGTGATGATATTTTAGTGTATTTTACACTAAAACATTTGCTGTTTAATCAAAAGTCTCTGTAATCTTAAGTCAGAAAACAACATGAACTTTAAGTCTTACTAAAAACAGTATGTTTAAAAAAAAAAGGCAAATGAAAATATTTATAAACCTTTTCCTATGATTAAAATGCTTATAAACTTAAAAGGTTACAAGCTAAAGCACCGCTACCACCGACTGCACATGCAGTTAGCTAAGTAGAAATGTTACCTTATCGTCCCCTCCATTGTTTGAAGAGAGATTGCTCAGAGGTTACAGCATTTTGTGGACCATAATGACGGTCTGCTGCTATTGTTCGTGTGATGTGATACTTTCTGCCAAGTGTCTCATTACTAGGAGTAGACATGGTGTATTTCACTTGGTCAAAACAATTCATTAAACTACCGCTGAACATCACGTTTTCTTTTGGAACAGATTTGCACTGTCACTGGTTTGGAACAGAAAAATAAGAAAAATAAGCACAAGTTAGTTTTTTAACATTTGGAAAAATTTCATTAGAATATTTGTATCTCAGAATAAATACATTTATAGGAAAATATTTCTTTGCTAAAGAAGGAAATGGTTTTTTCCTCATAATGGTTTGATCTGGTTTCATAGCTCACGTAATTAAAACGTGCCTTTTCTGTTATTCATTCTAGGAGGAGAGTCTCTAATGTGGTAATTTAAATCTTTAGAAGATATTTTTAACTGGTCTTTCATTAATGATGTCTCATGGGGGAAAATAAGGAAGACTTTAAGATCTCTGCTTTTAAAAAGTAGGAAAACATATGGATAAGTTCCTGATGTATTAAACTATCTTAAGGGAGGGTGTAGGTGAACATTTGCAAGCCATGTGCAAATTGACTTGGGTAAAACTGCTTCTCAGAAAGGATTTGTGCCACAGACGGATTAGTAACAAGACCTTACACCAGTGCAACAAAAGGGGTTTTTTGTTTGGTTTGTTTTTTGTTTTTAACGTGGTTGGACTCTAGCTGCTGATAGCAAAGCCCTGCCTTTGTCCTCAAGTGCTTTCATGATGAGGTTGGAGGGACCCAGGTAACAAGGTCTTCCATTTAATTCTAAAATAGGCTTGGATGCAATTCAGCGCCTGCCAGAGTTAAACTAGGCTTCACTCCTGTCTGCTGTGGTTTGTGGGGAAGACTGATATATTCTACGTTGAGATAAAACTACTTCTCTTTGCCACAACAAAACATCAGCCTAAACTAGGAGTCAGTTAACCAGACTATTTACTTTAAAAGGCTTTGGACTGTGTCCCAAAAGCACAACCCCAGAAATCTTTATTCAAGCAAATAGTTTTCCTGGAGTCAGTAGACCTGCTAATAAGCAACTACTCACTTGAGTAATGCAGGATTATGTTTTAATTCTGTAATCTGACTGCCTGCTTCTGTTTAATGACGTTTATTTGTAGGAATGATGCATTTTGGAAAGTGAAGTCAGCTGGAACATTTGTGGTGTTCATCTGTCTGCAACCCTTGATATTGCAATGTATCAGTCACTAAAAAAAGAAGTGACTACTAAACTGTAAAATTGAAACAGTTGGTAATATTAGTAGATGGTACCCTATGAATATTCTCAAGTGTCGGGTGCAGAAATGATGCTCATTTCAAAACAACAGTAAAAAGTACAATATTTTCTATTAAATATTTTATTAAAGATTTTACAAATTAGCATTATATCATTGGAATTTTAGTTTGAAATAAGTTTATTTTAAAAAGTCATTTTTCTCCTCCATAGAAAAAGTGTGTTTCAATGTGTTTCTAACTTTTTATGTTAAAGTAAGAATACTTTTTTCCAATGTTTTGATATCATTAATTTGGTAATGGATTATTTTTACTTCTTGGCTCCAAAATGAAGTGCAGCTTTTAATGCCAGCAATTTTAAAGCTGCATTTTCTTTTTTTTTTTTTTTACATCTGTCAGTGTGATTCTGTATTATAATTCTTATTTTTTGTTTATTGCCTTGGATGTTATCTTTCTCAGATTATATTTTAGATTCTCACAGTTTTGTTGTGTAGTGCTCTGATATTGTAAAATATTATATTTGTCCTTGCCAAGTGCCTGAAAAATAGAAACCTACCGGATTTTTGTACACATTTAACACTTGTTAATCCTAACAATCACTTCAAATTATTTTCCTGCTGGAGAGAGAGAAGAAAAATGTGAATATTAAATATACGTATGTGAAAGACACTCAGACACCACAAAGGCTAATAACTACATGAAAATAGCTTGTTAGAAAGACTCTTGCAAGAAAATTTATAGTGTCAAACTAAAAATTTATATTATCATGACACATTTCATGAAGATATACCCTTTCCTTGTGGATTTCCAAAGGTGTATGCATGAGGAATGATCTATTTCTGTGGCTCTTACAAAGAGGAAAAACAGACTGAAAATTAAAATATAGACTGAAAAATACAATACCATGATATATTATCATTTACACGATCCAGTAAAGACATTTAAACTACCCTGTAGAATATTGCATTACTATAACTCTTTATGGTCCTCTGTAAATATGAACAAGAACTTAAGCATAGTTTAAGACACAGTGATGAAGCATCTGTCAAATCTACACCTATTGATGTAATATGAGCACAAGCAGAGAAATAAGCATTTCATAGTATCCCTGAACAAAATAATCTGTGACAGTTGCCAGGGTGCCATTTTTTTTAAATATAGTTGTCCCAGTTGGTTGTTTCAACAACTGTGGCACTTAAAAGAACAATAAGGTTGAAAACAAACAATTATTTAAAAAAAAACCCCACCAACACTTCTGCAAATCCTAAATTGAAGTAACAATTATTTATGTAATTTCAGGATAAACCCTTGATATTTTCCCATTTCTATGTTTTTTCTGCTGCTTGATACATAAATGTCACTCTTCTATAGCATAGTCATACCGCCTTTCTGTGATGTGAAAAATAAGGGGATTAGTGTTTTAGTTTGGATGAGGTGTGCATTTCTGAAGAGATCCTCTTGTGAATCGTAGTTTACCCTGCTTTGCTTGCATGGCAGAGTAACCTTGGAATGAGCAAACTTTGTTCTTGTTGGGTGAAACTAAACCAGAAGATGTGGTCCAACCATCAGTGGATGTTAGTATACATTTAGTGTGGATAGCAGGTCCTCAGCACCAATTCTTCAAATCTGCTTCTATTGGGTTGCATCGGAGGAAACATCAGAGGTTTCCTGCAGTTTGTTTTAACTTTTCAATGAAGAAACATAACCTAACAATTCTTCAAGGCTGTTTTTTTTTCTTTGGTGAGCGCTTACAATTTTTTTGGAAAGCTGTAAGTCCTTGCACAAAATTGTCTGTTCATTATTTTTCTTAAGGAAAGCATTCATTACAAAGCGAGAAGAGGCAGTTCATCTCAAGTCAGCCAGCTTTTATCTACATGATAACCAAAAAAAATTTAAAGATTCCTTCTACCTTTCCTAAGACTTACCATTTTATTCACCCTGTCATTGTCTTTGTACGCAAGACAAATTAATTTCTTATGAGTTACCATTAACACTTGGTAGAATTTGAAATAGCAATGTCAGGATGGTGTGCGAGGTTCTTCAGAATTGGGTTTTATGGGCTGAGGAAGAAACAAGCAGAAAGACAGGGAAGCGGAAGAACGTTTTCAGTCTGGTTTTCTTCTTTGGAAGAGCCACAGAAGTGGATCGCTTCTCATGCGTGCCTTAGGAGATCCGCAAGAACGGTGATGTCTTCAGGAAATAAACATCGGCACAAGCATGCGCCTTGCACAAAGCCCCAGAAATCACCACTAGCCCATAGAAGGTGTGTTCTGTCCTTTGCAGCTTTTAAATCTTACGGAGGAGCCAGGCTGTTTAACTTGCAATTTAAACAGCAAGCAATAAACAAAATGCCCCCCTCCCGCCTTTTTTTTAGTCCTGTATTAAAGCTGTTTGAGTAAAGAAAGTAGTATTTTGATGCAAAAAAAAAATGAAGTGGAAATAAAAGCTGAAATTTGTGTTTGAATATCCGTGCTTATATTTGCAAATGACTTAAATAATGTAAGCTGCATAGAGAAACCTGTGTGAGTTTTTTAATTGAGGAAATACAGTGCTTTTCAACTGACCTTCCAGTTGTTGCAAAAAGAGCAAAGTGTATGTTTGCTTTAAATTGGAAGGTCACTTTCCATTTACGCCCAGCAACAGAAGGTTGGATTTTGGATATGTCTAGCAAACAAATCTATGGGGAGGGGATCTGGGGAACTTTGAACTGTTTATTTCAAAGATGATGGTAATCAGTGGAATACGTAAATTTTAATTTTTATGTTTTAAAAAAGTACTTTTTATCAGTTTAACTCTGATCCCTTTACAGGTTTCAGCAGGAATGTGGATCTTGAAAAATTTTAATCCAAATGCATCACATTGAATGCTTGTTTCTCATAATACAAGTCATACTTCGGTGACAGTTACATCAGTTAAAAAAAAAACTTTAGATAAGGAATTGCAAGGATAAAAAAGTAGTTAACTTTGTCTAGTCTTATCTCTGTTTTTGGAGGATAAATATTGTAAACATAAAATATTTCAGACAATGTGAAAAACAGTAAAGTAATACTGTAATTTGAAACCCTACCATGAATTAATTCCCTGCTTAACAGGTATTGCTAAATGCTGTTGGAAAGACTAAAGACTATGGCCTGAAAGTTTTTAAAAAAAAAAAAAAAAAAGGAAAATTGAAGTGGAACCTTCCCCTATTCCACCCTCCTTGTGTTGATCTGTACTTGCTGCAGGTACTCTTCAGGTTAGGTGACTACAGCCTGGATACCTTCAGTGGTCACAACAACGCGTTGCCAACCAGCACGCCTCTGGGTTGTTTGGATTTCATAATTTCTACCCAGAAAACTAAATTGAAGTCTGTGCAGCTCTACCTGCCAGCTGACAAGGAAAAACCCTGCCTTCCTCTTTGTGTTAGTTCTGACATTCATTGAGTGTTTTCCTGAGCTGATTCAACTCACTCGGGAAAACCCTTTTTTGCTGGGCGTGTTGAATCTGCTAAATGGGAGGTTCAATGCCAGCAATGGAGAGTTATCACCGGGAGAATTTAACTGGATGTGTGGAAAGCAGATCAAGAAATTTGTGAGAGACCAGTTCTCTCCCTTTTCACAGTGATGAACTTTGAGTGTGGCTTGCTGTTTCACGCAATTGCACCCTATGTTACTAGTGACTGAGCGAAGGGCCTGGTGGATGGAATTACAGCCCTATGGTCTTGCCTTTTCCCATCCTTATCTTTGTGGTTTTGCTCCTCTGGGCAGCTCTAATAGCACAGCCTTGTTCAGGACTCAAGTTCGTTTAAGAATTAAGAGTCCAGCTGAAATAAACAACTCATAAGCTGATATAAACAACCCATACTGGCCATAAAAAGTGTTTTGATGATACAGGTTATAGCAGTTTGATGAGTAAAACAAGTTGTTCTAGCCAAAGCATTTTCTGCCTGTGTCTACGCTTGGGATTTTGATAACTAAAATAGCACAAAATGTCATTGGTAGGTGTGCTGCCAAAAGCTTCTAGCCTGCGTTTGTCCTCAGATCATCTCTTTTTGCTGCATGATAGATTGCATCTATTGGAAATACCTTCTTCTGGAACTTCTGTTTCTTCTCTCCACTCTGAGCACTCACACCTAACTACTGCTTATCCTCTGCAAAGGTATAGAAACAAGGAGGAACAAAGAGCCTATGGAGGTGTGTGTTTCAATGCTGAAGTTTATAAATGAATCTAAATGACACGGGCCTCCTTCCACTGAGTTACTTAAGTACTCTGAAACAAAACACTCCCCTCCAAATGGTATCAGTAGTCCATGTTACTTACAGGTGTAACGCGTTTCTGCATTAACCCCTCAGTCGCCTACCAGCACAAATATACCTGCCAAGAGAAAATTAGGACAAGGAAGTGTTTACTGTTTTTCAGATGACAAAAAAGTCATGTGAGGGCTTCTCAGATGCAGTTGTATTTAACCTCTGAGAGAAATGTTCACCAGAGTGTTTAAAACTCGCCGATACATCCTATGTAGACTTACTGCATATTGTGGGTAGTTAAAAACTCTTCTGTGGCCAAAGTAAACCTTACGAGTAGTTGACTGAAGGAGGAGATTCAGCGCTTCAGCTTGCAATGGCACTAGCTGGGCCTTTCATGTCGTTGGGGCCCTTTAGTCCTAAGTATGATGAAATTTGCACTGAGCACAAGGAAGCCTTTAAAAGAGATGCTGTGCTCCACAAAAGCAACTGAAGGAGTTTCGAAGACATTTGAGAGTTTGATTACACGCTGATGATACTCCCATTGCAGGCTGAGTGGAAGTCTAGCTTGATCTAATTAACAAAAACTGGAACATGAGGACAAAACTGACAGTGGTGAGATGTTTTGGGAGGCTCTGTTATTTAGCAAACGTGACCAACTCAAAACTCCAGAGAGAGACCAGTATAACGGGAGAGGTTAATCACCCCAAAATCACCCCCTTCTTTTCTAAACCTAAATTAAAATTGGTTTCTGAAAGTTGATGAAAATTGTGCAAATGTGTCAGTGGAGCATTGGATTCATAATTTTGTCTATTTTTAGAGGATCAGTATCATCCAAGTTTACAACCATATTTGGATCATTTGGGCTATCAAAATATAAGAAGTTGCATGGTGAAAAATAAAAATAAGAAAATTGCTAGAAATACTTCCTAAGAAACAGCTGTAAAAAATGTCGAGACTAGTTAGTACCTGAGGAGGATGATTTTTTTTTCAGTAGAACTGAAGCATTTGGGGTGACATGTGTGCCAATTTATATTTGCGGATGTAATACACTTACAGATTGAATCAG